AAGGGGCGTGTCCGGACCACCTGGACCCCCTCTCCGGATCCGCCTGGGGTACGAGTTTTGGGAAAAACATGCCATTTTGTGTACAATGCCCAGTAAAACAAACAGTGTTTCAAATTCCACAAGATCTGGAAGAGTGAGTTGATCAAATGTAAATGTAAATTTTGTGATAACAGATTCCACGAGCTGACTATTGACAATTATATATTGTATTTCCTGCTACGCTATGCATGTGTATATGTGTCATTACTTCCTCATGTGATCAGGCTTAATGTTTAGAATTATTTCACTTTCTAAATATTTCGCAGGAAAATGCCTCAAGCACACATTTAAAAATAATATATAAAGTTGGCGCCATGATTTCCTATGGCAGGATGTCAGAGGCCGTAGCAATGTGACTTGGTTGGGATTGTCGACAACATTTCCGCTAGGTCATGGTGATCTGCATCACACATCCACCTGATCATCATACTGATATTGATAATAATAATCTATTTATACAGCGCTGAATTCCAGCTAGGCTGCTTACAGGTTCTTTACAGTGTTATTAAACCAGTCCTGGGTGGTGGGATATCCTTGTGGTTAAAGCGTTCGCTCGTCACGTCGAAGACCTGGGTTCAATTCCCGACATGGGTACAATGTGTGAAGCCCATTTCTGGTGTCCCCCGCCGTGATATTGCTGGAATATTGCTAAAAGCGGCGTAAAACCATACTCACTCACTCAATATTATCTAGCTCATGTTGAAATGAGCTGTCACAAAGGATTGAGGGTGGACCAAAAGTGTTCTCTTGAATCTGATCATTAACGTGAGTGCCCGGTGGCACATTGGAAGAAATATGCTTTTCTGTTCCTGGGTACTGTGAATTCTGTCCACACAAACCACACATACTTGAGCACTATCACAGCCGGGAACACAGGATGGGCTACAAGTAACCATTTGTGGAATCAAACCCATGTCTTGAACATGGCAAGCAACTGCTTGAACCAATTCACTACTGTACCATCGCATTTATTTAAAATCATCATCATCATCACAATTGTTCTAATATCGATAAGATTGCATCATCATCATCATCATCATCATCATCACAATTGTTCTAATATCGATAAGATTGCATCATCATCATCATTATCATCATCATCACAATTGTTCTAATATCAATAAGATTGCATCATCATCATCATCATCATCATCATCACAATTGTTCTAATATCAATAAGATTGCATCATCATCATCATCATCATCATCATCATCAACATCACCACAATTGTTCTAATATCGATAAGATTGCATCATCATCATCATTATCATCATCATCACAATTGTTCTAATATCGATAAGATTGCATCATCATCATCATCATCATCACAATTGTTCTAATATCGATAAGATTGTAGATACGTGAAATAACAATGCATGCAAGTTTGTGAGGTATCTTATATAATGACCATGACAAACCTTCTGTTACCCACACAATGTAGGTTTGTTACATATGTTGGTCATTTAGATAAACAACATGGAGATTTCCCCCCGTAAAGGACAATGTGTGAATAACATGGACACTTGCAAAATGATTCACTGTTAGTGTACCAGGTGACATCAATATAGGAGTCTCATATGGTTCGCTTTATCTAAACCATAGCACCAGAGATCCAGTAGCTCTCCTTTCTTGACAACTAAAACTAGAGTGGTAAGTTTTGTTTGTTTGTTGTTTAACACCGCACTCAGCAATATTCCAGCTATATGACAGTGGTCTGTAAAGAATCAAGTCTGGACCAGACAATCAAGTGATTGATATCATGAACATCCACGCAAATGGGATACAATAACATGCATCAACCAAGTCAGCGAACATGCATCAACCAAGTCAGCGAGCCTGACCACCCGATCCCGTTAGTGGCCTCTTACGACAAGCATAGTCAGTCACCTTTTACAATAAGCATGGGTTGCTGAAGACCTATTCTACACCGGATCTTCTGCCTTACAATTCATGACATTCCTTTCATGATTTCTAACAAATGTACGACTATAAATGATAATTTACCTAATTATATGACAATACAGTCACGCTCTTTTACACCGCTTTTAGCAATATTCCAGCAATATCACGGCGGGGGACACCAGAAATGGGCTTCACACATTGTACCTATGTCAAGTATCGAACCCGGGTCCTCGCGTGACGAGCAAACACTTTAACCACTAGGCTACCCGACCGTCCCCGAAAAGCTTTAACACAGGGTATTCGAACGATAGTTACGGTCTTAACGACTGAATCCAATATAATCTAGACCATCTATTAGCCATTCTAGAATGTTCTTTTGTTCAGGTTTCAAATATTTAATCGAGAATTTGTCAAAATATGTTTCGAAGCATAGTCGCTAATTTGAAATTAGTGCCTTAAAGCATGAGAAATCAATTCCCGTTGTTTTCACAGTTGTATTGACAACTGTTGGAGACGGTGTGTATAAGTGATTGTTGAAAAAACACGCTGAATGTGAAGCAAACATAAGCCTAGTTAGTTACAACACAGTTAATTGGCGATTAAATTACTCACCACTGTCTCTTATGTTATTACTTCATAAGTGAATCATATTTTACGTGCACCAATTTGGTGTCGCACCATTAAAACACAATATGGCGACGCGTGCTGGAGTTACACACGCGACCAATCATCGTAGAAAAAACAGCTCAAGATAAACATATTTTTATTGCAAATATAAGGTTGGGTGCGCACTTGTGATGTGCTTCATAACAGGTCGCTTTATACACGGAGTATAGGATTTGGGGTCGATTTGGAAGGCATGTACAGGGGGGTTGTCTTATACGTGGGGTCGCCTTATACACAGGGATATACGGTACCTTCTGATTGGTTAATGTCAGCTTCTTGTCAGTCATTCCATTGGTCGGTCAAAGTTTGCGCAAGGTCGTTCTAACGTGACCCCTAATGGGATGTCCTCAGATCTTTTATTAGCGGTGGCGAGAACTAAGATCTGATTTTAATGAGATTGTTGATATCATGAGCATCGAGCCACACAATTGTAATATGATGACATGCATCAACCAAGTCAACGAGCCTGACCACCGAACCTGTTCGTCACCTCTTACGACAAGCACAGTGGCCTTTTACGGCAAGAATTGGTTGCTGAAGACCTATTCTACCCTGGATCTTCACGGGTGAAGCACATCATGGGATGACACTGGTGGTGGTGAGGGAAATAGGATCTAATGTTGCATTCAGCTTTATTGCACTGATATAGCGACGTGTCTGTCTGTCTGTACCTCCACCCATCTGTGTGTCTATCTGTCCGTCAGGACTAATGCTGGTTTTTTTAACACTTGCACAAAGCGATCTTAGCGCTAAGACTATCGTAAGCCTATGTTAACGTATGGGAGTTACAATCATCTTAGCGCTAAGATCGCTTTGTGCAAGTAGGCCCAGGTCTACCCAGATGTTTTCTCGGTATGTTGGTATGTTATTCATTATCATGGCCCCAAATAACTAAGTAATGCTTGTTAATATTTTTATTCTCACCACATAAAAATTATACTGATTTGTTTTTGGTTTGTTTTTTTGTTTAACGCCGCACTCAACAATATTCCAACTATATGTCGGCGGTTTGTAAATAATCAAATCTGGACCAGACAATCCACTGATTGACATCATAAGCATCGATCCACGCAATTGGGATATGATGACATTAATCAACCAAGTCAGTGAGCCAGACCACCCAATCCCACGACAAGCATAGTCGCTCTTTACGGCATTTTAACCTATTCTAACCCGGATCTTCACGGGTCGTACTGACATAGTATTTGTTTACATACTGTGATTGTCTTAACATGCTTTATATATTCCAACATGACAAATATGAAAGTAAAAATATATTAAAAACTATATTGTGCGCATGCAAAAGTCACATTTTTGTGGTTCTTTTTCTGAGTCTTTCTTTCAAAACTACATATATATTGTTCAAAACTGATTTTAGAAATGTTATAATTTCAAAACGAAAAAGACACATCGAACAAGTTAAAAAATGCTGTACGTTTTTCACTTCCTACCTCCTGAGACTTTCCCATAGTCAGGAAACCAATACAGCTTAGTGGCAACAGAGAATAAAGCTGTCACAGTGTTATTCAAACAATGAATAAGAATGACAAGGTATATGCAACATAGTTAATATAAACAGATTATGTTTCATTCTGCCTTTGATTGTTTTAGGCCAGGTATATAATTATCCAAATTTAAAATAACATTATGAATTTGAAGTATTTAACCAAATAAATAGTACTTCATAAAATAACTAGAGTTATATGCCTTGCGCGCAAAGAACACAAGCTCAATTTTCATTACTCAAAAACATACAATGTCATCATGTTTTTGTGTCATAGCTTAATCATGTTAATTATTAAGTCAAGTATATATATACCTCACATAAAAAGTTCAAAACGTTCTGGTTATGATATCATCCAGAAAAGTATTTATATTTTTAATTATTTTAAATAATCAAATTGGAAAAAAACCTCAGTAAAATGCAAACTGCAGTTACATAAATCATGTTTATGGATACAAAAACCTTTGAGTATATTGAGTATATGATAATGGGTTTATATATATATATATATTACTTAATGGAAAACATTAATGAATTAATCACATATGCACACTTAATACCTTACTGACTTATGACAACATTGTCAGTGATAAAGTTTGTTATGACTATAAAATCTCCCAACGAAATAACACACCTTTCTTGCATCCATATTGTCTTTACCTGCTAAATGAGCATCCCCATCATGACAGGTGAAGTCAACAGACAGCTAGGTAAGTACGTGTATTGGAAATCAATATCACGTGCCACACAAATCAAACATAGCAGAATCGTGTTTTATTGGCATTATTTATGAGTTTGTCATTCAGCAAGCTGTTACCAATCCGCGTCGTCATATTGTCATTTCCGTGTGTAACATGATGCTTTTGTAAACAAGGCTGGGAAACTTACCCACGGCAAAATCCCCCGTTCCACTGACAGTAACTGCTTCGTCTTGATCGAGAAGATCCGAGTAAGTCTTCAAAGAAATCGTTTTACCACCCGATGTCGCCATTTGACAAACACAAACCCCAAATAAGGTGACTAACCAACATGTTGTACAATGACACGAAACTGAAAGAGGTCACATGTCTGATTGTTTGGCCTCGCAGCAGGTGCTCGCGATTAAGTAAGATAGAGTTACCCGCCCTTCCTTGAAAGCAAATCGGATTTTAACTGTTTGTTATGAAATCGTAAAATTATACGCCGTTCGTGACTTGAGGTTTGAGGTCGTTACGTAACACCTTGTGAGTATGTTATAACTGCAAGTAATCTGTATGGATCTATACCTCACGTTAAAAGTTCAAAGCGTTCTGGTTAGGATTTCATCCAGAAAAGTATTTATATAATAAAAAATGATCAAATAGGAAAAAAAACTCAGTAAAATGCAAACTGCAGTTACATAAATCATATTTATGGATACAAAACTTTTGATATAAAGTGCTCAAATGATTGTCAAAAATTGTGTCTATATGTACATGTATACACAAATTCTGCCCTGTAAAACTTTCAGTCAAGTGTCTCACAAAATAACCATTCCTGCACAAAATATCAGCAGAAAATGTCAATCCAACTTTAGACAAGTGTTCCAGTTATTTAGTCGTTTTACATTTTTTAATATCCTTAAATTATATCATGTAAAAAAAAATTTAATAAAAAAGCTCCTGGCTATATAGACCTATAAACATTATCAATGAAGAATTTGTCAGTAGTGTACATATGTAAGGGCTTGTAAACAATCCAGTCTGAACCAGACAAACAGGTGACTGATAGCGTGAGCAATGATCCGCTTCTGAGAGGCACAGCAACACACAATTTGCCACGTCATGAGTGAGTGAGTGAGTGAGTATGGTTTAACGTCGCTTTTAGCAATATTCCAGCAATATGACGACGGGGGACACCAGAAATGGGCTTCACACATTGTACCCATGTCGGGAATCGAACCCGGGTCTTCGGCGTGACGAGCGAACGCTTTAACCACTAGGCTACCCGACCGCCCTGCCACGTCATGAAGTCTTGACCTCTTCAGTTGGTCTTACAAGCAGGGGATAGTGTGGGCCTTTGCATCCCTTGAGTGGGGATTAATGTGTACGACTCAAAAGAAGACCACCCAACATATTACTCTAGTTCCTCCTTGGTCTAGTGGTAGAGCATTAGGCCGGACAGCGGAAGGTCTGGAGTTCGATCCTTGTCCGCGTCATACCAAAAGATGTTTAAAGATGGAACTTGTTGTTACCCTGCCTGGTGCTTGGCATTAAGGCGCTTAAACTAGGACTGGTCAGCTCTGAGTCAGTACACTGTGTTTGAATGGGGTATTCATGTTAAACTGTGGCACAGCACCATAAAATGGGCATCAGTCCAGACTGGTACAAGCAGACCCACAAGTTGCATGCACATTGCTATATAAGCGCAACAATCATGAACGAGACATTTAAACATTTTCACCTCACTGTAGTTAATGTTACGACGGATTAGCTATGGTTATATGAAAGAATCTGGGGTTTCTTTAACTTCTCTTGAGTAGTATATATTCACATGAAGTTATTAGCGTGTAGAATTGCTTTAGGCACATCCTTTATTTAGGAATGAGAATGGGTATTTTCCTTCAGTTGAAATGTCATTTCACTGTAGCGTGGTCCACAATTTGGGGATGCTCATAGGGGTTCATCAGAATTTACGAAATTTGTGGTCACTAAAATTCGCGGAAGATTCTCATCCCTGTTTATTTATTGGATGTAGCGTGTGAGCATGTATGGTTGGTTAACAGTGAGTTTGGTATAATACGGCTTTGAACAGCACTTTGGTTGTATCACAGGTGTCGGGCTTGCTATTGGAGAAATGTTAGCACCAAGAAGTAATACAGGTCTTTCACGATTACCACTCAGGGGGACAAAGCTAGGGCACGGGTATGGTACAGACAAACCTGGAAACAGTGAGGGCAAGTCTGGGCTTTGAGCCGTGATCCATGTTTCTGGCACACACGTAAGTGCTGCATCTCTGCACAGTGAATTCAAGCCCCGAAGTCTATATCACAGGTGCCAGCTTGAAGTGGGAGGGAAGTCGACTGGCCCACCTGTTGGGCAGAGTTCATGAGACACACATCTGGCTCACAGCATGGATAACTAGGGCTGGCTAAAAAGAGTAATACCTGGAATTATCGTCGAAGGGAAGAAATACTAACGATTATCGCTATGAAAATTGTGTCATCGATAATATCTTACATAAACTTTTGTGATGAAATAAAGGTGAGATTTACCAAAACAGATTATTTATTGTAGCATATTTAATGTCAATATTGCTGCGTGAGTGAGTATGGTTTACGCCGCTTTTAGCAATATTACAGCAAAAAATGGGCTTTGCACATTGTACCCATGTGGGGAATCGAACCCAGGCCTTCAACGTGACAAGCCAATGCTTTATCCACTAAGCTACCCCACCGGCCCCAATATTGCTGAAGATGGAAAGTAGCCGTTTTTGTAATATCTCAAATGTCCACAAAGTAATCCCTGTATAAACATGCCACCACTCACCAGCGAAGTGAAGGAGGTATCACTCGGAAACTTTTGTGTGTTTGCTGAAAGTTACTGATATTCATCAATATTTAGTTAAAGTTTATCGATCTCTATGATCAGCCAGCCCTATCAATAACTCATATTCATGCCACCAGGGTATAGCGTCACACCAAGTCACTCAACTCGACCATACTATCAATCGTCTCGTATGACAAGCATAGGTTGGTTGAGCGAGTGAGTGAGTGAGTGAGTGAGTTCAGCAAACAGCCACACCTTCGAACCCATGACATCTGTGCCCCTTGTGTCGAGCCAAGCCTACAGTTGTTTGAAATAAAGAAAACAAATACTTTTTTCCACAATCTTTATTAAAATAGTAAATTCAACATTTTAGGAAACTTCCAAAATAGTCTTACAAATGAAATGCATATATAGAAGATAAGACGATATATATTTTGTTCTTCAACCTTGATAGTTAACCAAGTTGTGTATTTCATTCAAGACCCTGCACAGTACACAAACACCATAAACAACATCTAATTTGTAACTGGAAACTAACTTTCAAGCACTTATGTACAGTCTGTAATATTCAACAAACAAAACCCATGTGGTTTCTACCATGGCCCTAAGGAACAAGGAAGTTGATAAAAGTGCATAATTCTGAAATTTTGCTTCAAGGGATGAAAAGGATTAACCTGCTGTTTGTATTGTGACAAGAACTGTCATCAGATCTTGAGCAAGCGATCCAACACTTCACACGAGACTACGATGGCCTAAGGGAGTGAGTGAGTTGGGTTTTATTCCGATTTTTTAAAAATTCCAGCATAGGGACACCAGAAAAAATAAAAAATATTTGATGACTTGTGCTGTTTTGTTCATTTTGTAAATACAATGTAAGGCTTACAAACACATACACCCAATTTATGAAACTCATATGTATGGTGACCAGTGTCCATGACAGCAGCCTGAATGAACTACCAGGGTATAATAAATCCTTGAATATGAGCCTGTTGTTGAATTTTCTCTCTCGTGAATCTGCTGACCCAGCATTTTTTTAAGGATGACCATATTTCTCATTCACGTCTCCTATTTCATCTGTCATGTACTGGGGGTAGTTGTCAAAGTTATTTCGAACACTGCTCCTGATCATGGGTATATAGTAAACTACTCAACATTAGCTAAGGACAACACCTTTTACAAAAGATGACAGTTTTGACCCTTAGCAAATATTGAGTACGGTAATATATATCATATCTTTCTATTGGCCATGGTCTTTCAAATATATCTTTTATCTGTTCTTTGACTTGGCAACAATATGACCAAGTACGATACAGCAAAAGTTTCAATACAAAAATAATAATTATAATTTCTTTTTTTTTCATACAGAAAGTGTGAACACAATTTACCTTGTTTTATCCCTGAGGAATAAAATGGTGACATATTAGTTTAAGAAACATTTTTGTTTTGTTTTATTTGTTGTTTAACGCCTCATTCAGCAATATTCCAGCTATATGACGGCGGTCTGTTGAATACTCGAGTCTGGACCAGACAATCCAGCGATTGACATCATGAGCATCTATCCATGCAATTGGGATATGATGACATGCATCAACCAAGTCAGCGACCCTGACCACCCGATCCTGCCGGTCGCTTCTTACGACAAGCATAGTCGCCTTTTACGGCAAGCATGGGTTGCTCAAGACAAGAAACAGGCTCATAGGTCCGGAGATGAGGAGGAAGTAAAGTATTTATTTTGTAGTCATTTAGACCATACAAACAACAGGGATAACAAATATACAGATAAAATGATGTTCCAATCATTACACATGTAGTATAGTCCAATGTAAAAACCATTCAATACATTGATCTGTCATTTCATTCAAGATTTTTATATAAAGCAGAGGGTGAATGCCCAGGGTACCCTATCGACAACATACAAGTTATGGCACTCTCACAGGTGTTACAAATTGTGCCACCTGAAAACAATAAAAACATCTAAAAATATTCATGAGCATGGTTTAAAGACTATGTTAAAAGTTTATTTTGAGACACTTTTACCAAAAATAATTAAATTTTATGAACTAAGTATTTTTTTCATTTTTCAAATAAATATAAAAAAATATTTGCAAATTATATAAAAGAACTTTACAACCAAATTGAGATTGCTATTACAAGAAAAGGCAGGTATTAATATACCACCAATCTGTACCTTTATCTTTTAATTGTTTTTATCTAAGGGGGATAACTCCAATAGTCAGTTCCTGGATTTTTAGTGGTAGTTGGCAAAAGAACACGCAATCTCATTAAAATTAGATCTTTTGCTCTGCTACAACACCTATGCGTAAAAATCTGAAGCCACCTTCATAGAACTGAGCGAACTTTGTCTCGATTTAGAAATTTGATCTCAATCAGAGAAAACAAATACCCCATCCATAGTAACCTGGGTGTAGATGCCATGACGCCAACAGGATGTATAAAAAATCTACAACAAAATACAAGCCATTATCTTCACATTCAGATTTTCCCAGTTACATTCATTTTCAAGATTGTCATATGTGATATGCTTGTGTGAATCTGCTCACTCCTACTATGAATTTAGAAGCATCAACGTTTATTTGCTGACAAGAAAGCTCACCCGACGCTACCTCCTGTGGGGAAGTTGTCCTCGCTTTACTCAGAGAGATATTTCAAATCTGAGTAAAAGGTCTGATTTTTTAGAGAATGCACAAGAAGTATATTGTGGCATTGTACAGTAAGTCCCCAAAACCAAAGGCATTAGTGGCAGAGTGAACACTTGTCTGCTCTATCTGGCCGTGATGGAACAAGTCTGATGTCTGATAATTTTCCAAAGGGGGTCACACGACAAAGGCAGAAACTTGCATCTGATCAAATTTGCAAATAGATATCAAACAGAGAACAAAACATTCACACAAATAATCCGATTCAGTCTATGAGATGCTCCCTTATTGTTGAAACTACTTGAACCAAGGGAGATAAGTCAACCAATATATTAATGAGTTGTTTGCCCTTGTTCCCTACTTGAACATGAGGATAGTGTGATGAAAGTCAAAATATATTGATCCTTTTGCAAAACACTTTACATCAAACAATAATTGCAATATCAAGTGAAGGTTGTTCTTTTAATAGTATGTGCTTGGCCAAAACATACAAAGTACTTGCATCTAATAATTCCAACAAGGAGTTGACATGTTATAGTCTTTGTTCAAAATGCTCTGAAAATAGACTAAAATAGTGCTATCAACATACGTAGCACCCATGGCCTTCAACAATGGCTGGAAGGAAGTTCAGTGGGAAGGAAGGAAGAAAGTTGTTTGACAGCTGTTGGAAAATACTTTTGATACATTTAGACATCAACTACAACACATTGCCAGAAAAACATTCTTACAGATAATTGAAATAACAGTTTATATGAACCAGAAATAGCACAAAGTCACATAGTTCTCTTACTGAAGTAACAAAGTTGCTTATAAAGTAAATACAATTTTTTTTAGTGTTTTCTACTTAATTTCAAAATTATTCTAACCTCTATTTCAAACTGAATAATCAAAATTCAGATTTATTTCTAGATATGGCTCTCTTGTATTTAATAGGAGTGAGTGAGTGAGTGAATGAGGTTTTACGCATGGCAGGTGGACACCAGAAATGGGCATTGTACCCATGTGGGGGAATTGAACCCTGACGTTGGGCAAGACAAGCAAACGCTTTAACCACTAGGCTATCCGACCACCCCTATTTAATAGGAAGCAGCAGGGTTAGATATTCACCTGGGATCTTTGTGTTAGTTCTACTCCTTCAGTATGAAGCCACACATCTGTCATATTTCTGGTATATTGTGTTAAAGTAAGATTTTACAGATCAGCTTGGATAGACAAAACTAAATCTCTCCATTTGATTTCATCTGGCATGACAATGAGTGATACAAGTATAACTACCAGGGCAGTTATTAAAACCTACAGTGCATATTTGTTTTGTTATTTGATCTTTTCAAATTACACAATCGATTCTACAAATTTCATACCATTAAAAAGCCAATCAAAATTATTGTCATTTAATTGTATTATATTGCAATTCATCTCTGTATCTTTTAATCTAAAAAACAAACAAACCAAAATCAAGATTCAGGTAGATTATAAGAAAAAATTATTTAAAAAAACAAAAGTCAAATACCGGTAATGGGGTTGGGTGTAGTGATTTTCGACTACAGAAGTGGGGTGGATTCATAAATCCCAAATAAAAGTGCTCACATTGGGTAAGTTGTCCAGGGCAAAGAATTCTCCCTGACAATTTGTAAGATCAGCAACATTAAATTTGGTGCATGGTTATTGATTAGGTTTAGCAGTCATGCTGCTCCACCATATGACCCTGTATATACATAGGCACAGCCTACGAAACCAGTAATATTAATGTCCCACAACATTCACTATAATTCTCTATCAACATCACTGTCCCCTCTCATTTGTATTCAGGATAACACTGCATTCATTCATGGATCGGACTTGAGCAGACTGATGAGGCTAACAAAAATAATAGCCTTGGTTCTGAGGCACCGCCCACTCCATCATAAAGTCTGTTTTTATTTCTATTTGAAATCAAAATACAAAAATCCTAATACTTAAGAACAATGCGGTCCAATATGGCATGCTGTTACTTCCCTTTACGGCGCATCTCGTGTTAAACTTATGGACATGGCCGCAATAGTTAGTGCTCTTGTTTATGTAGGGGGGTCCTTTCCCAGGTTGATGGTACACAACTGTTTATTTGGTTACATACTAGTTTGAACAAGCAAAAACACCACCCACCCGCACTATATTTTCAAAAGTCATTGCCTGAGAACCAATTCTTTTAATTTTTTATGCCTAACCTTGACACTCTTTTCTATTATGAGGGCTTTTATTATTATTAGTTGGTTTACAAAATAGTTGGACTAAAATTCAATGTAGGTTGTTGAAACACAGAAATCAATCATTTTCATCTTCCAGACAAGTACTGACATAAAAGTTTTAACAAGGCAAGATACCCCAAAATAACTGATATTTTTTTATTTTTAGAATAATCATTTTTATACTTAAATCTTTGCTTACAAACGGTGGTGTAACTAAAAAAGTGACCCAAAATTTCATTTTTTGTTTTGTTTTGTAAATTCAGTTGTTTCTTTGTTGGTCGGTCTCATAAACCAACTAAAATTACACCAGTAGAACTTTAATGGATAATAGCTTCCTTATTGCTATCCATAAAAGTTTGTCTTCATTTTCTTCCAACTTCTAAATGCCTGTCAAAGACTTGAAAAGAAATATATTGAAATGGTAACAGAATTGTCTACTTGGTGGTGTACAGAGGGAATGAAATAAAAATGTATTTATCTTTAATAACTTCTTAATGAAAAGGGGTGATCAATGTCCCCAATTTTTAAAATTATTGTTCAAATTTCGAAATTTGTGAACAAAATAGGCTAAGTTAAAAAAAGACTTTCAAAAATACATTTTTGGGGATGGCATAGGTTCCACAAACCATGAAGTAAAACAAACAGCTGATTTAGAACATGTAGAACAAGATTATTAGGATGGCCAAAATGGTCATATGATCAATGAGTGAGTCTGGTTTGATGGCTCTTTGAACAGTATTCCAGTGATATAATTTCATCAGCTTAGGAGGTAAGCCCACAGTGATGCAGGTCTCAGAAGCTGACCACTTTGTGATATCAACAAGCATGGGTGTGGTTCTGACAAACCTGGAAACAGTCAGAGGTATGCAATCAGGGAATGCAACTTTGTACAGCGAACTGCAGATATGATCAATGATATGATAGAAATAATAAATGATTCACAAAAATAAGATGACCAACAAAGGGAATGACTAGACATCCAACACAAGGGACTCAGTCAACATAAATCTACAGGCCTCAAAGTTGGAAAACACGTCTGCTAATAATTGTACTCGCAAATAATTCCTTCTAAAAGTCGACAATGAACCAAAATACAAAAATTTAATGTAATTTGTACTTTATTTTAGTTGACAATGCTCATTGGATAAGCGAGGGTATACCTATATAATCTAGTAACATAAATTGCATCATTGTTCAAGTCACAAGTAACAAAATTCAAGTAGTTTCCATTAAGATACAATTTCAAGACTAGTGCTGTAACTTGTACATATTATTATAGTTATTTGATAAAGATAATTTCATATGCTTTTGGCTACCTGCAATATTGGCTTGACTTCTTGATTTTACCAGGAAAAAAATACTTGTAGCCATATGGCTACTTGGTAAAAATTTAAACTTTGAGGCCTGATCTGTCATGGCCTGCTGACCCAGCTGCTTGTCAACTTATGTCCAGAATCTTACACATGGAACATGCAGGGCTCGATTTTAAGGAACTGGACCAGGTGCACGTTGACATGAAAGCCTAGTTGCCAGTGTTCTAAATAATTTTAAAACCCAACAAGACAGTCGGGAAGATGACCCAAAGCGTTGCCTGCCCATCTTAAAAATTACCTGCCCGCACTCAGGCATTATAAATAGTGAAAAATCACAAAAACTTAGAGGCAAATCACGTCTTGATTCAGTTGACATAATGTAAACAATTACTTGAGCATTGTTGAGATACAAGTATTATTAAAATAAATTTTAAATTTTCATGCAGCCCAACAGATAGGTTACCAGCCACGGGCAGGCGGGTATTTAGGACACTGCTAGTTGCACCAGACAAAACCGGGTTGCACCCTGGCCCCCTAAACTTATCAAAGTTGAAACACAGGTCAGTCTTCTGCCAGTGTCAGTAAATTAATGATGTATTGCTGTTAAACATTTTCAATAACAGGTTACTCTGGTCTTCTATAGCTAAATCAAGCCCTGACATGCAATTCATGGATACAACCTTCTTATACATGTTAAATAAATAAAACCTTGTTAATCCATACAGTTTCACACTAAGAGGAATTATCCGGATAAGCTTATGAACAAGATCGCATTGGGGGCGAGGCGACAGATGTCTCGGGGGCAGGTGTCTGGCCTACTAGATTTCTGGTCGACAAAGTTTGTTCATCTGCTATATTTGTAAACGAGTATACAGAAATAAAATACTATTGGCACAAGTATGAAAGGAAGTCAAATATATTTCATAGCAAAAGAATCATTGAGATGAAAATTTTCCTGGATGTGAAGTGATGCCTAGAATACACTTTGCACTGATATCAATATGGGTATCAATGGATATCAATTCCATCCTCAGCCAACCCTGCATGGTGTGTGTGTGTGTGTGTGTGTGTGTGTGTGTGTGTGTGTGTGTGTGTGTGTGTGTGTGTGTGTGTGTGTGTGTGTGTGTGTGTGTGAGTGAGTGAGTGAGTGAGTGAGTGAGTGAGAGAGAGAGAGAGAGAGAGAGAGAGAGAGAGAGAGAGAGAGAGAGAGTGAGTGAGTGAGTGAGTGAGTGAGTGAGTGAGTATGGTTTTACGCCGCTTTATGCAATTTTCCAGCAATATCACGGCGGGGGACACCAGAAATGGGCTTCACACATTGTACCCATGTCGGGACTGGAACCTGGGTCTTCTGCGTGACGAGCAAACGCTTTAACCACTAGGCTACCCGACTGCCCCACCCCCCATGTGGTTAGAACCAGCCAGCCTTCGAAATTCATGCTAATCCTAGCCCTAGCCCTAGCCCTAGCCCTAGCCCGAGGAAACCTCCACCCATGGCAGTCCTAATTGACTTGTAGCATTTGAGGAACTAGTAGTCAATGCTTCAATTTGGCTACAATTGTAACTGAATAAACCTGACAGAAAATGTAAACAAAGTAAACATTTTAGTTTCGTTCAAGCAGGACTAGCTAAAACCTCTGAGGACTAGTTACATGAGGTTCAATAAGGGTTAATGATGACTACTGGATAACATTGTTCCAGCCAGTGAGTAACAACAGGTTCTAACTGAAACCTCTCCTAGGTGATCAAAGAATACTAACTGTGATGTCTGAGACTCCTTAACGGTGTTCCTGGTTTTAACACCAGTTCAGTGTTACCATGGTTTACTAGTCGGCCATTTGCTTCCGTAATAATATTATTCTTGCACATATCCAATGACAATTGTCGCCATGCTGAGGACACAATCCACATCCTTGCAATGGTTCCTTTGATGGTACCCTAAATACACAGATGACCCAAGTCAGATCTTACCGAGACTAATAATGGGCATCTGATAATGGAGCACAGCCCCCCTCCTTTAGAAAGTTAACGACAACCTTTTGAAACTTGGCAGTATCACGCCAGGTTCAAACATCAGCATAATAACTCTGGGTTGTCATACGATACCCTGTCAACATAAGCAGTGACACAATTCCTGTATTAATTCATATTTTGGATATAAACTATCAAATAATACATACAATACATGAAGAGGCTTCAATCTAGAAAAAAATTGGCATATGATTGACATTTATCAACATCTTTCCTAAATAAAATTCATATTTCCCATCCTGAAAACCTATTTTGACACAAATCCATGAATGATACATTATTTTTTAGTTCAGTTCATGTTTCGTGGTAATCTGCTAAGTCATGTCCAGACTTGATTTTCTGTTTCAAAGAAAAGTTCAATAATCAGAATTAAATAAAACAATGTTGGTATTTTTCAAAACCACACAGCCAACAGAAGCATGTTTAAAGATATTCTTAATGCATCAAAATCTGAAACCCCAAAACATATTAATGTGATTAATACTGCATTTCATAATTAAAAGTATTTTCATTTCACAAAAGAGATCTAGAAGAGTTTCTTGCATACAAGAGGAATCCACATTTCCCTGAGGAGAACAGAGGAGAAAACAAGCTGACCCTTGTCCTGGTCAACAAGATGGACAAGACGAGGACAACTAAAACAGGTACTTCCTGCAGTTGGCAGCCCCACACTGACACACCATCCTGTACTGCTGACGGACAGGGTTAGGAATATCGGAAATATCAGACTTGGTGTCATCGGCATCAATGTTTTTGTCATCTGGTTCAGCCATGCTCTTGGAGGGAGATTTGGAGCTTCCAGATTTCGAAGACAGACTGGGATCCAGTTTTGCTGGCAACTGATCCTGGTTGGCCTTGGATGGGGATCTTCCTTCTTTGGATGAGGAGGACCTGCTTTCAGGTCTGGATGGAGATTTTCCCCCAGTAGGTTTTGAAGGGGAACTTCCAGTTTTCGACGGTGACCTGGAAGTGGTTGTTGAGCTAGAGTCAGGGTCCTGAGAGGTGTAGGAGTATTCACTGGTGGTGTCATCGGACTGGGGTGTCTGATGGGGGGGCTGCAAGGGCGGCAGCTGGGATTCTGCCACTTGGGAGACAGTTTGCAGAGTTGTGTCCCCTGAAATGACAGGAGCTAAAGTTTAAGAGAAGACTCGGGGAAAGTCTGATTAATTTCCCAAATCACAAGGCTCTATAGCTCACCTGCGTTATGAAGAAATAACAGCGGTCATGTTTAAAGATGGACTGGAGAACCCAGATGGGATCATTTATACGAAATAGGCCTTGTTGTTCCAGACATGTCAAAACAATCATAAAAGACAAATATGTGAAGGGCAAAGTTTGCAGCTCGATTAAATATTAAAATATTCCACACACCATATACTTGCTGCACACTGAATTTCATAATCTCATACAGAAATGGATGAGAAAAAGGGAAAAATGGCATTTTCAGTATGGCCATCATGTTCATCATGTGTGAAAATGGGATCAGAATTCTATGAGCAAGTCATAGAGAATCTATAGCGGGGATCACTCTACAAAGTTTATAGGCTATGTAATTGAAAGTGAGTGAGTTGGGTTTCACGCTGCTTTGAACAGTATTCCATTCATATCATGGCGTGTCATCTTAATGTGGGAGGAAAGCCCAAAGCAATGTAGGGCAAAGACGTTTTCCACTTCGGTGACACCTACAAGCACGGGCATGCTGCTGACAAACCTAGAAACATAATCAGGGTGAACCGGGATTCAAACCCACAATCATAGGTTTCTGGCATGCCCAAGGGACGCAACACTGCACAGCAAATTGCAGCGTCTTAGATGACTGGGCCATCCATGTCCCCCCATTCTAATATGTCCAATTACCCAGAATTGAATAATAAATATATGGTAGCTAAAACTCCTGACTGTAGTTTCAAGTTGCAATCGTTTAGTAACATTAATTAATAATTAATAACATTTACCTGTCATCATGTAGTCAAAGGTAAGTTCCTCTCCTTTCAAGATATCTTTTTTTGAAAAGAGGGCAATTCTTGGCAGTCTTGGGTCAAGTGTGTTTATCCACACCCCAAACACCTCTAAGTTCGGGTCACACTGAAAAAAGGACATGATATGATACCTTATATGCTTCATTCGAACATTTGGTTTAGGTAAGCAAACAATAATTATTGTGTGTAAGAAGGCAGCCTTAATATTGTGTGAAAAACATATATTTTTTTAAAACAAAAAAACATTTGATTATTCTAACATGTTTCATGCAGAAATAAATATTTGCTGATCCAATACAACTTTGATTCTAAACAAAGAGTTCTTGAAGAAATACTATTGTTAAACTCAGATGCTGACATTCATCCTCAATTATCTAATGTAGTTTTGTTTGTTTGTCGTTTAACGCTGCACTCAGCAATTTTCCAGCTATATGATGGCGGTCTGTAAATTATCAAGTCTGGACCAGACAATCGAGTGATTGACATCATGAGCATCGATCCACGCATTAACCAAGTCAGCGAGCCAGACCACCTGAGGCCGTTAGTCGCCTCTTACGACAAGCATAGTCACCTCTTACGACAAGCATAGTCACCTCTTACGACAAGCATAGTCACCTCTTACGACAAGCATAGTCACCTCTTACGACAAGCATAGTCGCCTCTTACGACAAGCATAGTCGCCTCTTACGACAAGCATAGTCACCTCTTACGACAAGCATAGTCGCCTTTTAAGGCAAGCAGGGGTGGTACATGAACGTTGTCATGTTCGGTTAAAATACCAAACAGCTCATCTCTGGTACTTGAAAGGGGTGGTGAAATGTGCATTGAGCAATCATGGTAATATTATGCCAAACCCATGAAAATAATTTAAAAGAATATTGAGAAAACAATCTTTACATTTGGTAGATATTTTACAATAGTCGACTTTTACTGCAAGCATGGATTTCTGAAGACCTATTCTACCCCGGATCTTCACTGGTCCAATTATCTAATGTATCATATCTCCATTTTTTTTTCAATAAATACCCTGGACCATACACCACCAAAGCTTTGTACCTCACTACCTCTAAACCTTCCACCTGGCTCAGTACAAATGCTTGTGAATCAGTCCAGGATATTTAACAAAAGAAATGGAGATATAATACACTAAATAAGACAGAGATGGAAAACATTTGGTGGGAGGAGGGGGATGAACATATTACATATATGCAACAGTCAAACATATTCCAGCGATATAACAGCATTAGAAATTGCCACTAGTCTTATGGTCCTTACCAAAACTGCCCAATAGTTAAGGTACCATAAGGACTAGTAGAAATCTGCCTTTTTAAGGGTTTTGCTATATGTAATCACTAAGGGCTAGAGGTGTAAAACTAAGTTTCTATCACCATGATCATATAACAAGTAAAAGAGTCCCGTCCAGGCAAATCAGTGGTTTAAAAAATAGCCACTCATGCAATAAACACTATTCTTACATCGTGACCATCATATCAGGATTTTCAGACTTTAGCAGATTTATCATTAACCGATGGTAAAAATACCTTGCAACATGGGGAGAAAAGTATACCTTAAATGGGAATACGTAAGTAAGACACATATAAGTAAGACATGGTATTCATCCTCTACTTCTCTGGATGAACAGTTTGTACAAATAGAGCTCACAATAGACTTCACAATATCTTTGGACATGCGACATACATTTACATTAAAATTGTGCAAAGCAATCCTAAGTTTACAATAAGCTCTGATTAAACTTTTATCATTTAAATTGTGTAATATCTTTCAGTTTGTAACAATGATGTTACGTTGCTAATTGCTTCATCAGTGAAATATAAGTCACCTCCAAAAAACATGACATCAGCTGAGTAACTTAAAGATGGAAATTTGTACTTCCATTCCAATTTGGGAATGTTACTGACATCAGAACTACAGAAAAGCTGCGTATTTGCGTAAAAATACCCCCCCCCCCCCCCCCCCAGATATTCAAAACCCAATTACTTTCAATTAAGTATTAAATGAAAAACTCAAATGTATAAAAACAGCACTCGTAAATACCTAATGAAGCTTTTTCAACATGCGTTCAAGGGAGCAAATTTCTGAAACACAATTACGAGCTAATTTACTTTCCAAGTCAAGCTGATATATTTAGAAGAGTTATTATGGTTATATACATCTAAAACATTTAATTTATTTTTAAATCTTAAAATGTTTACTCTTTTGGGGGAAAACCCAATAGAGTGATGAATAGATGAGTGAAAAAATATTGGCTTCCCAATGAAAAATGTAATAACCCAATTAAAATAGAAACCCCAGAGTAAAACTCAACTGCTCGAAAAAGTTATCTCGAGCTCTGTGACTTTTGCTTAAGACTAGGAGCTGAAATTCAGCCTCTGGGCAGGTAGATAAGTCCAAAAATCACTCCCACCGTGACCTCCCGAAACCATCAGTGCTTACAATACAGACTTGAGCACCTCATTGGGCTCAATACTCGTGGGAACTGAACTGAAGAATATACGTGCATGACAAAGAAAATGCAGTACTCACAGAGTGGTTAACAAAATGCGAGACGTTGCCGTAGTAACCAGCATCTACAGTGTAGGGACAGTCTCCATCATTGTAGTCCAGGTCAAACAAGTATGTCCGACACTCTGCATCGTAAACTTTCCCCCGTCTCTCCGCTTCCTCATTTGTTATAACCTGAAATATAGGATAAATGCTTTTGTCAAACGCAGACCACTATGTGTGACTATTATTTGCAATCACTATGTGCTGGATACATTTTAGTGTTCAAAATTAAGCATAAAGGTTCACGGGTCCTTATCAGCCCTCAGTTAAAGTTAAAGATGCAAATACTGCAATCAGCAATATTCCAGATGTAAGAAAATAATCGTTCGTTTGTTGTTTAACGCTGCACTCAGCAATATTCCAGCTATATGACAGCAGTCTGTAAATAATCAAATCTGGACCAGACAATCCAGGGATTGACATCATGAGCATCAATCCATGCAATTGGGATACGATGACATACATCAACCAAGTCAGTGAGCCTGACCACCCGATCCTGTTAGTCGCCTCTTACGACGAGCATGGGTTGCTGAAGACCTATTTTATCCAGGATCTTCAAGAAAATCATGAAACCACTGATGATGTTATGGGAGACACAATGACTGGCTATCAACTACGTCACGACGAAGCATTAGGTCAACTCCTACAACATTGTACAACAAGCATAGGTCTCAGCAAAGAAAGATATCTCTACGTGACGGTCTCCATAGATAGTCATCTCAGGTGAATCCTGAGTGAACTTTGACCACCTGATCTAAATGAAGGATAGACAGCTTCTTGATCAGATCAGATTTCAGATTTCTAGAACAAGTAAGCTTCATTTCTTTACCACCTCGATTTAGAAAAGTTGATATTAAGAAAAAAATCCCACACAGGACACGATAGTACTCCCTTCATGATGTCAATGCTGTAACGCTCAGAAAGGACAGGGGCATAAAACATTTGCAACATAATGGCGTGGTCTTTATTACCTACATTCGGAAATGCTTTGCTCACTCGTACAGAGAATCTAGAAATCACAACACAGGTTGTTTGATAAGAAAATTCACCTGACACAATCTCCTGTAGACATTGTGGTGTGGTGTGGTGTGGTGTGGTGTGGTGTGGTGTGGTGTGGTGTGGTGTGGCGTGATTTTAGTGAACCAATTTTTACCCCAAATCCCCACAAGGGTGATACTGATGCAAGTCAAAAGGCATTTGGCAAGGCACTAACGACAAAAGTTTCAGGGTCCCTAGATTCACATACTACAGGAGCAAACTTGAAGAACCCTAAGATCCACCATAATTTTGAATGCTGCATTTATTCAGGCGACACATGCCTGTTGTTGTTTTTTTCTAACCACAAGTTATTTTTGTAATCTTTTGGCCTATTGTAAGCGCTCACTGACTCACGTTTTCATCATTACCAATATTTGCTATAATTTTCCAACACATTGTTGTTTCACGCTGCACTCCGCAATATTGCAGTTATACGAGTCTTGATCAGACAAACCAGTTACTGAGCAGCAGCCCATGCCATCAGAGTATACGATGTCACGCAATCGACAAAGTCAGTATGTTACCCAATCCACAGGCGCCTATTACGACAAGCAGAGTTTGCGGGGACAAATTCTAACCCGGAATCCAGAGGGCCAAAAACATATCTGAAAGGTGTATCTCACCTCTCCCACATACTCCATGACGAATGTTCCCCTTTTGATCTTCTGCAGTGCCTTCACGCCCCAACCTCTGCCATTGTGAGTTCTGAACACGCAAACTTTGCACTGTCGGCCATGTTGAACAACTCGATTGGGACAATCAGGTCCGCACTTGCAGCGCTTGTTACACTCGTAAATAGGGGTCCCCTTGAGAACCTTCACACGCTTATACTTATAGTACGCAAACTCCGCCCCACAAGCAGCCGGACAACAACCCTTGCGAGTATCCCAGCAGTCATCACATTCACATCCGACGAGAGGATCCTGGGGAATTGTGATCCCCTCTCCCTCCCGATAATCGTTAATGTATTCAAAGTTCTCAGGTGGTCCCTCCAGGTCCATATTGTTCTCCACACTGATGGGAGCTGGGTCAGTGCTGATGCTGTTGAGATGCTTCTCCCATTCTTTCAAGGCCTTCTGAACCTCCAGCCTCTTCTGTTTATAGCCCTTTGTTCGAGGGTTCGTGTAAGACGTTCCTGTGTTAACTTTCCTGATCTTCTGGTCATCCCCGGTGATGAGACCTTTGTACTGGGGCAGCTTGCCCTTCTTAGGGCTGGACAGTGACAGGAGATGGAGTGGGGAGATTATCTCTCGAATCGGGGATTTTACCAGTTTGGCGAAGATCTCATCTACTCTGCGTTTCTTGTTCAGCTTCATGTTGTCCCCTCCGTTGGCAATGTCGGCAAGTCGTCTCTTCCCTCCTAGTCTGCTTGGTGGCAGGGAGTGGAAGGCCTTGATGAGTTCAGGACACTGCAGGTTCTCGGCAGGCTCCCAGGAGTTGTGGCTGTTGCTCCATCCCTTCCACTTGATCAGGTAGAAGTCAACTCCCTGGAAAAGGTAACAAATCAAATGGACATGTACGCTTAGAAAATGATCACTGAAATCACAACTAGAGGCCCACAACTAGTTTCTATTTGCCAAGTTTACCACCCAAAGTTCCACATAAAACTATCGTAGTCTGAGTGTGAGAAAGGTTTAATTTGACAATTCTCAGCTTATTTACTGGATTCATTCTTTGGCCTGGATGAAGAGGGGGCAAAACATGGCCCTTTACCACTTCGGTGAAACCCACGACCACAGGTATGGTGCTGACAAACCTAGAAACATAATCAGATTCGAACCCACATTCATAGGTTTCTGGCGTGCCCAAGAGACGCAACTCTGCACAGCGAATTGCAGCGCCTTAGACGACGGGGCCACCTGTGCCCCCCAGCAATATTGAGCCAGGTATGTGACGGTGGTCTGAAATAATCGAATCTGGACCAGACAATCCAGTAATTGACATCATGAGCATTGATACACACAAGTGGATATGATGACATGCATCAACCAAGTCAGCGAGGCTGACCACCCGATCCTGTTAGACGCCTCTTACGACAAGCATAGTCGCCATTTACGACAAGCATGGGTTGCTGAAGACCTATTCTACCCAAGATCTTCATGGGTTGAATGGGAAAGAAGTAATCTTGAAAATTCTAAATGAATATTAATGGTTAAATATTGTGTTGTCCAATTCTTCAATTCCTAGAGTTGGCCAGTCTCATTAAAATCAGATCTTAGTTCTCGCTACCGTTAAACAAAGATCTGAGGACCTCCCATTTGGTCATGTAAGACCAACCTTGCGCGAACTTTGACGGACCAATGAAATGACTGACAAGAAGTCGGCATTAGCCAATCAGAAGGCAGCTTTCTCGTGCTTTAAGGCACTAATTTCACATTGGCGACTACACTTTGAAACATATTTTGACAAATTCTCGATAAAAAAATGGAAACCTGAACAAAAGAACATACTGGAATGGCTAATTCATGGTCTAGATTGTATGGATTCAGTTGTTAAGCCCGTAACTATCGTTTGGAATCTCTGTGTTAAAATTTTCGAGGTTGCATGATTAGAAATCACATTCCGACTGTGACTTTCATGATCTGGTAAGCGACGGTCTGATTGGTCGGATGAAAGGTCATTCTGACGTGACCCCTAATGAGATGTCCTCAGATCTTTGTTTAGGGGTAGGGAGAACTAAGATCTGATTTTAATGAGATTGAGAGTTGGCAAACAAACCTGTTGTGAAAACATCACCAGAACACAGACATCTTCATGTCCCCGTGAACATTTGTAGGTACCAAATTAAATCTATTGCATTGTACACAAGCCTGTGGCCTACATCAAACACCAACACTTACTATCAGTCCTAGGACCTGACTACAGGTTTACACTTCAAGGGAAAACTCACCTCTTCATTACAGTGATCGATAACGGTTTCCACTTCAAAGTCCTCATCTGTTTCCCACTGGAGGTCTCCTCGTTCCACCACTGAAATAACAATCACACCCGTTACCATGGCGAGTCACACCAAAGTATTTTCCCAGCAACTTTCCCTCTCCAAGATAAGGATTCTGTTGACAAACTTATCTCGTTTTGTTTGGTTTTTGAAAATACACAAATTTGAATATTTTTTCTTGGTTAAAAGTCCATTCATTATTTGAATTAAGATTTAGCAAGATGACTTATTTTTTACATTTCACAAAATCTTTGGCTAATTTAGAACCATCCATTATTTTGTAATATACTCACAAATGTTTTATAAAATTTAGTTTCTTGGTAAGCATGGTAAGATGTGCATTTTGGGTTTGTTCTGACAATAGTGAGGTGAGGCGAAATTGGGTTTAACATGTTTAAAGTCGCATCCAAGACTATTGCACTTATATAGCGACGTGCATGCATGTGTGCGTGTACTAGTCCGGACTGATGCTGATTTATAGTGCTAGCTCACTGAGATACCATGCCGCAGTTTAACATGAATACCCCACTCAGACACAGTATACCGACCAGTCTTTGTTTTAGCCCCATAATGCCAAGCACCAGACAAGGTAACAACAAGTACCATCTTTTAACGTCTTTTGGTATGACGCGGCCGGGGATTGAACCCCGGACTTTCTTCTCTCCAGGCGGACGCCCTGCCACTCGACCACGGAGGCGGAAATTGGATTTTTACAGAATTTAAAAGTGCAAAAGTCAAATATAGGTGAAAATAAAAACAAACATGTATTGCTACAAACACAATGTGCGTGGATACAAAATTGATTCCATTTTTCAAAAAACAATATGGCTGAGAAATGACAATAAAAAGTTTCAGTATGGTAGAAGTGTGAAGGTGAAATCAAGATCAACATTTAAAAAATTGAGAAGACAGAACATGTGATATTTGTTGAGTTCCACTGTAGTACACAACACATGCCAAATTTCATTACAATTTCAACAAAAATGACTTCGTGATTTTTCATAAACAGCTTTTTCAATATGACTAACCGCTAACAAGGTGGCCATATTTAAAAATCGGCTTCAAAGATCTTGAACAAATTCAGATGTCTACATGGTGGGAACAAGCCTGTGAAGTTGCAGCTCAATTGGTTTCGTGTTTTTACAGATGTTTACACAATCTCATTAAAATCTTAATCCAGGTCACGTCAGAATGACCTTTTGCGAATTTTTACCAAACAATGAAATGACTAACAAGAAGTCGACATTATCCAATCAGAAGGCAGCCTTCATGTGCTGTGAGACAGTAGTTTCAAACTGGTGGCTTCAATTCCAGACCATGTTTTGAAAAATCCCGATTCAAAATTGAAAACTGAACAAAACATATTCCGGAATGTCTAATAGATGGCCGAAATGTCAAATTAAGTTAAAAGTATAAAATATCGCCCGCCCCCCCGCACCCCCCCCACAAAACAAACAAACCCAGAACACATGCCCTACTATTTACTACTCACAAGAAATCATGTGACATCAGAGCTTGAAAAATTTCTTAAACCTAACTTATCCTGCAATATTTTCACCTGCCCTGTTAAGATTCTTAAAGTTTTATGTTCTCCGTTATTATTTACAGCAGACAGTACAAAATAATTCCCTGATATTTACATTCATTGCCTCCCGTTCAAAACTCGCTCAACCACGCATATTGCAAGGTTCGTTTTCTTTTTTTCCAGTCATACTATTTTTTAGAAAGTGTCCTATTTTCGGCCCATTTGTTAATTACATCATGGTTTTTTTGTCGATAACCCCACTATCCCCGATCAAAAACCTCCGTATATCAGCCATTTCATTAATGTTGTCTATGATATGACCTGTATTTAGTTGTTACTTAAAACTTGAGAAATTATATGCCAAACTGCCCAATAGCTAACTAAAAGTACTAGTAGAAATTTGGCATTTTAAAGGTTTTGCTACGTGTTCTCATTATAAGGACTAGAGGACTAAAACAGCTAGTTTCTGTCGTTGCACAGCGTATTAGTAGCAGCCCTAACAAGCCTACTGAGTACTTAGCCAAGCTCTTCATCTTACCAAGGCAAGAGAGTTAACTGACTATAAAAGTCCAGTTTCCACCCTTGCCGAACTAGTATGGAATTCCTGGGCTCGATCGTAGCGCCACCAGTTGCTATATTGAGTTATGTCCCTTCTAAACCTCTCCAATGTAACGATCAGAGTCCATCACTTGCATTTGTTTAAAACAAAATGGCGGCGCCCAGTCAAGACCAGGGGTCCGGAAACGGTCATATGCACCGCACATGTCCGATCCGGAATCTCAAATGTCTTAAAATATTGCTTACCGGACATTTAAATTTTTGTCCAGACATTTTAAACAAATGGGATCCAAATAATTGATGAGTGTTATATCCCCTCAGCGAATTAAGGTGAATTACCGGGAAAACAAACTTGGTCAATAAAAGTATGAAATTTGATATAAAAAAACACTAGACATGATGATTTAACATTTAAAATGTATTTCCTGCTCTCAAAGGCATTGTTTTATATACAGAGATTAAGATTACCGTGTGTATTTTCTCGTAAACTAAGCCGGAAATAGCAATCAGCTGTATAAACGTTTCCTCCCAATCTACCGGTGATTCAGTTAAAACGTACCCATTGATACAACTTCAAAGAATTTTGATGCAATGGTCGGAAAAATTGTATCTGAAATTATTATTTTATCAGGAATAATATTTTCCAAAATCGTGTTATTTTAGTTGCAGCTTCCACCATATTTACTTAAAATTATAAGAACCATAAGCGTAGCACTTTGGTACAGATGGTATGCAGGATATTTCTTGAGGTATGGAATGATTTTGACCAGTCACTGTAGGGACTTCCTGCACTACATGTATTTCGATTGCGAAAACGTTATGTGGACATTTAATAGTCAAACTGCCATAAATATGACTTTGAGTCATGGTACAGCATTTATGATATGTGTATCCATTCTCTTCCAACTAAAGTTCGTTTCAAGGCATCGATAGCGGTAATCTGACCGTGGTGGCTGTAAATATAATTGAGTTGTGCGATCTAACGATCACTTCGCATATGATTTTGCCGAAATTATTGTAAACATTATTATAATTATTGAATGAAATTTTGAATATAATTAATAAAACATATTGCAAACATTAGTCCAGATAAACAATGAACAAGATATTATGATAATAGGATTAAATTGCGTACTTCAGTTCGAATATGTTGACTGGTATTTCCGGTGTTACAGTGTTTTCTGACATGGGGGCAAACATTGTGTCATTGGAAGACTTGAGTTTATTAAAAATGTTAGTAAATTTTGGGAGCCATGCTTTACTGCACGCTGTAAGTTAGCGTGTAACCGAGTTAGCACAATAACGAGGGGAACACTGAACATAACAACTTTTTGTCCGGTTGGGATTTAAAACTTTCCGGACCCCTTGTCAAGACGATCTGATCGATAATCAAGATCTATATTGTGATAAAACAGATCTTACATCGCGAAGTGCACCTGTCACGCGAGCACCTTGATTAAAAACATGAAAAGGTTTGGAAAATATCTGTTTACAACAAGTTGGCGGTGCACGTGCTTTGCAAATCCTGTAATTGACCAAAATCTGCACGACAGTTTACAAACCGGATTTCGATTTTGTTGTGCGATTTTGATTTGACTATGTATAGACTCACTGGTCCAGCCAAAATGTAACTCCATAATACCAGCCTAGTTCGGCAAGGGTGGAAACTGGACTTTTAAAGTCAGTTAACACTCTTGCCGAGCAAATACCGATTAACGGGACGAGGTTGATATTTCCCATATTAAAAAACACGAGTGATGAATTCTATTTATCATTTTCACATTTTTGCTTCCCAATTAAGGAATAATTGCATTAAACATTAACATCAGCAACTTGTCGAAATCTTACGTATAGATCGTGCGTAGTGATACATGTTTTCCATAGCCGTGTAAACCAAAATAAACAACCCCCCTAACTCCTTTATGACATATTCCTTCGCTGAGAAAAAAAGTTCCTCGGATTATTTTAAACAAAATACTTGAACAGACTTTTGCAGAATAATTGAAATAATGTCTCCCACATCAAAGGTATCCATGTTGTTTGTAAACACCTACTCACGTGCACCGGCGAAAAAAGTCCCACTTCCGGTTATCTAATTTGCATACTTATGTCATTGGGGTATGACATACATGTTTTTATGTCATAAGCTTATGTCATGGATAAATGCTTTAGTTAAATGATAAATGTTCTTATGCTGCTAGATGTTTCCAGCTGTATTTGAGACAGCACACAAAGTCAGGAACCAATCCCTATGTTTTGATCATGAATATTTTTTTACATCTATTGTAAGAATGGCTGCTGTCTTGTCATTTTACCAAGTCTGAAAACGAAGCTGTAATACTGAATGGGACTAGAGAATATATCACAACAGAATGGAGATATAATACCCTGGATTAGTGAGGATAAACGAGGTAGTGAATTGGCACAGCGGTGGAGTCACAGAGCTCCAGATAAGCTTTTGGTGTTGTGGGTATTTTACCCATGCATTTTAAAATCATTGGGTATCAGTAATTCTATCTGCGTATTCAAATTTCTGTTACCCACTAGTTTTTACACATGTGGGTATTTAAGTTAAATATTTAAAAACACTATTCATCTAGTCCCTACAAACTGGTGTTGTGTGGGTTCGAGAGCTTTATAGGACTAAAAAATACCACGATACTTCCACAAGAAAGTGTGATGGCAAATGATCATGATGTTACTGTCATCGTGGAGTTTGGCAAGGTTGACGGAATGCCCGTTAATTTCAAAATAAGTTGCTGATTTGCTAATCGAATACGCAGGGTTACTTCACAATATTTTGATGATACGCACAAGTTTGATTTTTGTAGCGTATCTGTAATGTTCGTTGCGTATTTGATACGCTTAGATTATATTTTACTGTGTATTTCTGATGCGTATTTCACGCAGATAGGCAGCTTATCTGGAGTTCTGAGTCTCTTATCATTCGATCTCCTTTCCCATGCAATGAACATGGTATGTTGCCATTAATGTTTTATTTGTAACTCAATCTTAATAAAACCAGATCTTTTACTCTGATAACTCTGTGAATATAGGTCTGGTACCCTCTCCACAAAATGCCATGTCAGGTGAACCCTGGGTAATCTAAATGAAAGGAAAATGAAAACTGCCGCCACCCAAAAAAGATATAGCCTGCAACCTCGGGGTATCGCGGTACTTGTCATGTACGCTAAACGGAACAAAATGCACTCACTAACCTTTATGTTTATTCGTGTTCTCTGTATCAGATATCATTTATGTTATCAAACAATGCATATTTTACTTATAAAAGTTCATTATTTACATCAGTAGCTCCGAGTAAAAGCCGGGCCTCGCGCTCAGTTTGACAAGGGAGAGAACTCCATCGTATCGCGGTACAGAGAAAAGTTGTGTATGGAGATCCGAATTGGACAAAAAGAGGACATAATTCTACCAACCACTTGGTATGATCATGCCAGACATCAGTGATTTGTACAGACAAGTGCAAAGAAAGCACAAGTAAAATTCTTAATGTGTTATCAGCAATAGGTATTCAATGCATATTTACCAAAATGTAAGAGAAAAATATTTTTATAAGTCAACATCAAAATATCAGAAATGATATTTTAAGATTGTTTAAAAAAAATTGGATGACAATAATTTGTCACAAAATGGAAAAATGTTAAAAGTCAACAATAAATATATAAAAAGCACTCCTAGTATGCCCAAAGTATGTATTTATCTTTTGGTTACTAGTGAAGAACGTATTTCTAAGTTTGGCATTATGGCCCTTATGATCTCCCAATAGATTCTGGGCACAGAGCGGGAAAAAATGTGCGGACTACGTAACTTCCGTTACCTCATTAGTCGTCATGAATATGCAGATGATCTAGTTCAGGTTGATAGAGAAAGTTTACTTGGGGAACTGCGGGTTATATTGTTGGCCATTGATAGATGGGGGTAAGGCATTATTACAACAGATGCCAGAAATATGTATCAACGGATTAATAACTCCTTACTTACAGCAAAATTTCACATTCCGAGGAAATTGAAATTGTTTACGAAGTGAGCACTTCCTGGTTACTGATTAGCATTAATAGACAGCCGCTAAGAGGCGTGTCCCGCGTGAACTACCGGAAATCACAAATGCCGCGATACGATGAATGCCGCGGTACCATGGGGTCCGAGTATACCTTCAGAAGTACAGCCTTTTTGAGTTTAAAAAAGATCAGGCTTACCAAAAATTTAAACACCTTGATGCTGATTAGAAAGTTTACCCATCTTTCCGAAGCAAGGTAGTTAACAGACTTCGGCCCGGTTTGTAAACTGCTGTGCAGATTTCGGTCGATTGAAGGATTTGCAAAGCATGTTGACATCAACTAAGCATAAACAGATGTTATCCAAATCTTTTCATGTTTCTAATCAAGGTGCTCACGAAGTAAAACCCTTTTTATTCCATTATAGATCCCTATTATCAATCAGATTGTCTTCACTGGGCAATGGCATTGTAACAGCCACTGGTGGCCACTTGTGGCAGTACGATTGAGCCACGAAATTCAAGCTGACTTCGCCGCAAAGGTGGAAACTGGACTTTTTTGTAGTTCCCTTCCCCCTGGAAGATGAGTTCACTTTCTATTTCTCCCCGGAGAGTGAGTGAGTGAGTATGGTTTTAAGCTGCCTTTAGCAATATTCTAGCAATGTCATGGCGGGGGACACCAGAAATAAGCTTCACACATTGTACCCATGTCGGGAATCGATCCCAGGTCGCCAGCGTGATGAATGAATGAATATTGTTTTACGCCGCATCAGCAATTTTCCAGCTATTCATGGCAAGCCGGTGTGATGAGCCAATGCTTTAACCACTCGGCTACCCGACCGCCCCTTCAAGTCTGCCTTATAGAAAAATAACAAATAACATTGGGTTGCCATTCGCCATATGAACAGATGTCCAAGTAACTGTAGATGTAAATAATGAATCAAGAGTAGGCCCTATTCGCCAATCACAAGTCGACACAGCACCTAACTGTGACTGGTTCAAGTCACCATATCAAGTGACAACTACTAGAAATACAATGTAAATTCATACAGATTATTCAAAAGGTCACTGGTAAATGACATTCTAAGAATAAGGCCTAGGCCTATTAAATAATTGATGTTGTGAACATATTGATTTTTGTGTCAAAGGGTACAATACTGAATATACCGTCACTACTTGTATGTATTGTCGGTAAAATGAAATTAGTTCATGATTTCAGTATGCTCGTTCCAATGGCACTGTCACGGAACACTTTTAGTGTGCTCCTATTTAGAACATAGATCTTATACTATAGGCCCTATCGATTGACAACAGATTAAAGTTCGTGCGCAATAGGCTTGTACTGGTCAAAAACGATAGATCTTAATTAAGTGCACAACACACATACTTACGTTTACTTATGAGCTTTTGTGCTGTCCATGGCCCGACCTTTTTCAAGGTCTGGTACACAAGGAACTTATTGGTTTCGGGTGAAAACTGGAGGTTTTCTCTCTGGCAAACACGTTGCAAATCCAAGATTCCGGACAGGCACGCCACACGAACATCATGGTCGCCATCCGCCATCCTATGTTTCTTATTCTTAAACTGATACCTGTTCAAATGTCCTGCATTCTAGGAAATTGCAAACAGAAGATACGGAGTATGACATGCAGGATACAAGGTCCTTCTTACATAGCTGGGCGCAATTTTAAATGTTTCGCGGCCATTTGCACAGTGCCCTTTCACTGATTGGTTCAAACAGAACACATCAAGAGTAACGTCCCTTCGTTAAAGATTCCTATATAGACTTGCTGAGACTCCCCTTGCGCAAATTGTAACTGCATGTATTATTAATCACATGAAAGTATTCCAGTTATATGGGAGGAACGCCCGAAGCGCTGTAGGTCTCAGACGACATGAAAACAATAGTAATAATAAAAACACTATAAACATAATCATGTCAGCATTACCCTGAGACACTTCTTGTTTTAATAACATTTTACCATATTTAGCTAAATGGATTTATAGATAGCAATTTAAATATCAAACATTGTCATCTTGACACTTTCCCTAATCACACTATCTCCCGCGCAAGTTATTTACTTCCGCATCTTTAAATAACCCCTACCGTCACTTCCCACAATTTATATCACTTCTACAGCTACCCCTTACGTCGCTTTCACATTTTTCAAAGCTCGAACCCGGTCACATCCCTTTGCACCTTAAAAAAACACCCTCCTTCACCATATCGCCATAAGACCTTATTTTATTGTGTGTGTTTTTATTTTAATATTCTATCTATTTAATTTTAAATGTTCATTCGGAACTTTATTTTTCAGCATTGTCCCCCAAGGAACAGTATGCACTGTAATTTCAAAAATAAACATTTTGTACGGCAGGCATGGTGCTAACGGGGCTCAACGCCCTTATCAAATAAATATACTTGGTTACCTGCTTGTATTGTAGTGGGAGGCGTGTGGGGTGGGCGGGGTGGGGTGTAAGTATCACAATATTGTGGGCCTTTCTGTTTACTTACTTACTTATATTGGAGATTTTACGTGCGCTTTCCGACTGCAGCGTATTTCGCACACGGGCCCGGCCAAGCCATTAAATGTATTTCCGAAAAGGGGAAAAAGTTGTTTGGCAATCCAGTAGGGGTGTTTTAGTGGTAGCTTATATAGAATTTTGGAAATTTTGAAATTTTGAAAAAATGCCAAGAGGGTTTGGGGGACGAACTAAGGGACCTGAGTTTGGAAGTTTGTTAGTTTGATTATGTGGTCTGGTTTTGGTAGTTTATTGGGGTTTTAAATGCGATTTATTAGTCCTGTTTTGATTAAGTATACGCCTAAGGCTTTGAATTTTTCTATATTATTTTGTGGGTTTAGGATTGCTTCTAGAGTAAGAGCCTTATTTAGATTTAGGGTGGTTTGTAGTGTAGTTCGGTGTGTTAGGTAGTGGGTGCAGTGTATGAGTGCGTGTTCTGGGGTTTCTTGTTGTTTGCAATGTGGGCAGGTTCCTGTTGCGTGTTTTCTTATTATTTTGAGGTGGTTATTTAGGTTGGTATGTCCTGTTTGGAGTTTAGTAATTACTCTGTCGATTTTTTTGGACGGATGTAGAATTTTTGGTTTGGTTAGGGGTTTTTTGAGAACCTTTTTGATTTGGCTATTTGAGTTTTGATATAGGTTATGCCATTTTTTGGTGATTTTTTGTTTGTTAACACTTTTAATTTCTGATTTGGAGATGGGTAGGTTTAAGCTTATTTCTGGGATTTTAAAGGATAGTTTAGCTGCTTTATCGGCGTTTTCATTGCCGTATATTCCTACGTGGGCGGGGATCCTTTCTGCTACGTCATGGCGGAAAAAGGCAGGTTCGACGGGGTGCCCCCGGTTTCCCAACATTTCTTAAAACAACAAACCCAGTCAGGCGTAGAACAATAGAGGGATTAGTTGGGTACACAATTGGTAGGGGTGCTGGTGAGTGAGTTAAGTTCACCCACCTGCCAGATTAAACCCTGTTCACCAATTAGAACTTATGCCAATATGAGTGACCGCGTTCACTAATTTATACTAATGCGTGAGCGTAGTGATCACCAATTAATAAACAGTATAAATGCAGGACATATTCATGATTATTACCCATATGGGCTCAAATATGCAGTGTAATAACTTTTTGATATTTGAACAGTGTGCAATAAGTGATTCTCGAAGCTGATTGGTCAGTTAAACAAATGTCAATTTTCATTGGTCGACGGGACTATTTTTCTCTCATTGGGTTCAATCACTCGGAACTTAAAACATTAATTTTACTCGTGACATATTTTGCGTAATCACTCGTACCTCGTGGGTTATTCTATAAATGTCCATTGCAATCATGGCAATCATGCAATCTGTGCCCATTTAACCCAAACCATATCTTTGTAATTATTTACATTTATAAGCCACCCCTATATAATCTAATCACCAATCATAGTATATTCTTATTCAGATATCATTATAAAATGGTCTACGCTCAGTCGATGCCTTGAAGTGGTAAGGGCAGGGACTATGACGATTTGTTGTTCTCGCCGCCTTCGGCAATATTCCAGCTATATGAAGAAGACCAGTAAATAATCGAGTCTAGGCCAGATAAACCAGTGACTGATATTATGAGCAGCCTCCCACCCCGTCGGAGTAAGATTATCTCGTTCGATAAAGTGATCAAATATAGTGTTCATTTTGCTTTCCTTTTCAACATTTTAACGTGTCCAATGCAGAGTGATAAAGAAAATCAGTATCATACGTCAAGTGTGAAGCGTTACAATTTCATTTTAGAATTGGTTATGTTATCATTACATAGGAAAAGTAACATTCAACCACATCAACTATGAGAGAGTATTCATTGTCAAAATTATGCTCGCTAAAATTACCTATGGATACCCTCAAAGATCTGTGACGAACTAACAGATATTTTGCACAGTAAAACGTTCGTCCTCAAGAATGAACATTGTAGTTAAATGGCATTAAGAATATGTAGTATCAATCAAGACAGGGTTGAAATATGGTTTTTAAGTTGTTTATTCTTTAAATGCTAAGTTTTGATACAATTTTGTTTGTTTGTTGCTTAACGCCGCACTCAGCAATATTCCAGCTATATGACTGCGGTCTGTAGTTAATCGAGTTTGGACAAGACGATCCAGTGACTGACATCATGAGCATAGATCCACGCAATTGGGGTACGATGATGACATGCATGAACCAAGTCAGTGGGCCTGAGCACCCTATCCCGTTAGTTGTCTCTAACGACAAGCTCAGTCTCCTCTTTAAGACAAGCACGTGAAGGCCTATTCTACCCCGGATCTTCACGGATGTCGATACAGGTGCGAGCGTTATAATAACGTGCTTGATATTGGAACTACAAACCAATATCACTTGCTTGATAAAGGTACAAGCACCTGTTTGCAAACTTCGCCTTGAAACCATTAAGAGGTACGATTCCTAAAGTCAGTCCTGGGTCTTCAATTATTATTGCGTTTGATGATGCAATAGTCGCATGAGGCAAACGGTTTATCCAGAGATTCCAAACCGATATATGGTCTCTTGTTTATTCAATACATGTTTTTGGACGGGACATGTGAGGTGAGGTGAAATGGGGTTTAACGTCGCGTCCAAGCTTATTGCACTTATATGGCGATGTGCATGCACGTGTGTGTGTGTGGCTGCTTGTACTAGTCCGGACTGAGATACCATGCCGCAGTTTAACATGAATACCCCACTCAGACACAGTATACTGACTCCGAGCCGACCAGTCCTTGTTTTAGCCCCTTAATGCCGAGCGCCAGACAGGGTAACAACAAGTACCATATTTTAACTTTTGGAAGGACGCGGCCGGGGATCGAACTCCGGACCTCCCGATATCCGGGCGGACGCTACCACTAGACCACGGAGGCGGTCACGGGACATGTGATGTGCCATCCAAGTAACAGATGATGTTAGGAAACGACAAGAACCCCTCAAGAAGGGTTCATTAAATCTCCAAATCAGTCTCCTATCTTCTTGAAACATCTTCCGAATATCCAGGAAATACAGTTCAAAAACGGTGCAGTCATCACAACAATTCTGAGAGAAGATAAACCAACATCTCACACGATGTACATCACTCATTCTCACTAATGAGATGAACTTGATGTACCACGCCGACTAATAAAATGAGGACTTTTGCAAGACATTTTAAATATTTCTTTTTCTAATTTTTTATATTGTTTTTTTTTAGCAGAGAGCCCATGACATATATCACAACTTATCAGTACATCTTTCTTTTTCACAGAAAATAACATACTTCTCATTCACACATTCACTCTACTAATACAAACATACTGCACATATCAAGTATGCATAAACTATTAAAGTTTACACATCATATTGCAGTGCAGGAAAGTACATGGTCTCAAATATTAAAGTACTAAGTACAAAACTAAAATTAAAATGAAAGCTGCTCCCCATTTTCGAAAAGTTCATGATACAGCATCCAAGTACCATAGAATTTCTGCTGATTTACCTGTCTTGGAAGCAATATCTTTTTTAATGTTGTATCGTGAAAAAGCTTTCTTTTTATAACATTTTAAATATTTCTAATAAATAGTATACATACAGATAAACTCCTAACACAGTGATCATGAGATTGATACAGCAAAGCTAACTGTTAAGAATCTTTATATAAGCAAATTAATACCTACGTTTCCTGTCGCACTTAATACGCTGGACCAAGACTGTTCCTTTAAAACGTTTCTTAAGGAAGCGTGTTTCATAAACTTTAAATAATACTGCACTGCCTCGTGATAAGCGTTTGACATTTTGAATTAGTTTAAAGATGTAAAGCATTGTTGGAGCCTCACCACAAGAGACTGTCACCAATGTCCAGATACACGCGTTGCCGTTGTGAAGATAGTCGTTTGGATAGCACACTATCATTGACAGTCGGATTATATGGGCCGTACTATCCCGGTCAATGATCTACATGTCGATTCCGTGATGACTTCAGCTGTTCGATTCATCGCTTGTGGAATATTTTGAGCGTTTTTTATCTATTAGAGTTAAAGTCAGCACTACATACGTTACCCGTGTTTATATTGTATATTGGTTGTGAATTATTATTCATAATTTAAATAGGTTGTAAAATCAGCTAGTATTAATCGTCTCTTTATTGTAAACTTTTAAACATTACCTATTTTGACTTGTACCATATGTTCCCGTGTTTTTTTCAGGTGAACAATTAACTTGCCTTTGCATGT